CTCCTGTTAATACATAATATTAATGACGTTTCAACGGCTTCCATTTGCTTCTAAATATAAATTGCTTTTCTTCTAAGTACACAATTTTCTTCTAAGTACAAAATGATATCAGTTGTGGCTAAATTTACATTCCATATTTGTTTTTCTCTCTTATTTAAGTACTTTTCACATTTTTTCATTTTGAGGAATTCTCTATATTTGACCATATAGATTTTCAAATATATGTTCTATTAGTTTTTTTGTTGCTTTCATGTTTCATATTTACCTCCTCCTACAGTATGTCATGTCATATTTACTTTATTATTTTCAAGTTCATTTTAAAATGTCATGTAATTACAGTACATTTCAGTTCCCCCAGGGACATTTATAGTTGATGCTTACAATAATGCTGAAGGGAAGGTTATTATAACATTCTATGATATTTTTTAAAAAGATTAAAGAGCACTCTGAGGATGAAAGATACTTCCAAAGTCTGTTTTATTTTTGAAAGCCACATTTTCCCCTATGCATATATTTTGGTTAGGGTTTAAAGCCACCACTTTTGGAATACTTTATATTTGAATAAAGATATTTTGCTGCACTATGATTAGAGACATTTCATTTACCTCTTGGAATATTTATCATATTAAATCGGCCTGTTAATTCAAGGTTTTTAATGTATCCTCAGTGACTTCTAGTTATCCCTGAGGTAAGGAAAATCAATCATTTTTTCTGGCAGCCAAAACACATTTCAGCTCATTTGTAGTTACAGGTATAACCTGAAATAATGCATACTTTTAGTCATCTCTGTTTTTTTTGTTTGTTTGTTTTTGTTTTTTTTTTTTGGTGAGCATTGTGAAAATAAATGATTTTATCTTTTATTCTTTAAAATGTAATTAAAAGTAGATCTTCATTTATTCCAAGTAGCCTCGTCCAGAAATCCATTATTTAGAGTAGTTCTTTGGTACAAAATGGATGAAAACTGAACAAACTAAGTTCACTAATGCAACATAAGGAATATCCACTTTTTGTCCGACTTCTGATTTTAATAGAAAATGGTTAAAAAGAACAATAAAATCTCTCAGCTAATGAAAATATAATTTTAATAAAGTTAAGTGGCATAACATTGTAATTAAGCTCTCAATATCAATGTTTATCATATATTATAAGGTACAGAAAAGCTTTAAGAATGTGTACACTGGCACAGCTCACATATTTTAGTAAATCTTTGTATCATGTGTTTTCAGTTGTTTTTTATGGCGCCTTCATATGGTTAGCAGCTGGAAGTTATGCAACATCAAGTCCATGAAATGTTGTTCTACATAATTTCCAATGACCTACTTATGCAAAAACCTTAACAGTAGCAGAGTTATGAATTTAAGACTTAAATGAATCATATATTTTAATGCAGTATGAAAGAAATGACCTTAGTGTTCTATACTACCAAAACACCTCATGCATTTTCAAGGTCTCAAAAACCAATATCTCAATGTCCACAGGTTGGAGCAAAGGGAATGTGGTGCAAATGATACACATTTGTAAGTAAAACACTCATTGGGGCAGTAGACTTGGATTTATGTCTCCATTTTTCCTCTTATTAGTTATATATTTTTTCATCTTTAAACTTGGACTTTAAACGAGGTTAAGTTACATTAATAGACAATTTCCATATTTAAATGGCTGGTGAAAAGCAGAGTTTATTCTTATTCCAGCTACATGACTGTCATGGGTTGACTGGAGCTTGCCAATGTATCTGCTCTCTATACTGGATAAAGAAATCATTATATTAGAAGTCGTGATTCATCAAAGCAGAGAGAAAGAGCTAACACAAATACATACTTCACTCCAGAAGTCCCACATCACTTCCACTTGCAATGCACTGACTAATACTAATCATATGACACCATTGAATCAAGAAGAATCTAACATAGGACTCCTAGGATGCTCCTGGAAAGCAAAGATCCAGAAAAACTAGACACATCATGAAAGATTGCCATAGTGTTGTTGAGAATTTAGTATTGGCCTGCCTGAAATTTTGTGTTTATGACATATGGTAGACATTCGGAAACTTTCTACATTAAGTGTTGTCATCCAGAATAGAGTACTGATATTAGCCAGCAAGGATGAAAAGATATCATGCATGAGAAGAATTTGCTTATACTTACTTTATAGGTGAATATATTCTAAAGGTGGAGAAGAAATGTCCTTTTTCATTTTTAAACATGTAAAGCTGCACTACCACAACTTGTCATAATCAATTAATGAGAAATCTAGACATTAAATAAGAACAGCAATGAAAGTTCTTACTGAATTTCCAGATAGTCTTTGAGTCTTTTCTAGATTTATTAAATCTTATAGGAAAAAATCTACATAGCAACATTTTCATTAATCATTCAAATCTCAAACTGTGAATTTTATGGTTCAACTATTTAAAAATCTTTGAGAAACTAGACTTAGAAAATTGAATTTCCTGATAGAAGTGAATGTCCTCTTCTGTCTTTTCACTCTGTTATTCATGAGAGAGACATAACTACTAATACTTTCTTATTTCTGTAAGTTTTGTGCTTTCTAAATTGTTCGGTACTAATTCTACACATCATATTATAGTTCTTATAATAAGCAAATGCTTATGGCTGTATTTTCAAATATTGATGACTGTGCCAAACACTACTTAATTCTATTTGTGTGCACTGAACATGTTCCTGGAGCAAAGCATTGCAGAGTATTATCAGAAAGTAAAAATCCTAAAAACAGTTCTACCAGGTCATATGGACCAGTGTCGATCTCTAGTTATTTTAATAACTTATTATCCACAAAATAATCACTAAATTAAGAACGTATTTTAATAGATGTCTGTATTTTCATATCAAATATATTTCATTTGTCATTTAAGAAAATTTTTCATTGAATGTAACTATTTAGGCTCAAAAAACAATATACCAGAATTATGAGTGAGAGAAAATTAATATATATTTTTAGGTAAATTTAGAACCATGAAATACATTGTACAGAAAAGGGATTCTACAATTATAACCATTCTTGATTACTTACCTAAATACCTAACTTATCTAAATGCGAAGACTTACTATACACCTAAATTATATGCATTTATGTAAACATAAAATGAATATCTACAAGCTTAAGAAATACTTAAAAATCACTGGTGACTAAAAGAAACTATGAATCAAATAAATTTTAAGGTAATGCAAATAGCAAATCTATATATACATACATGTACACAAAAACATTTACACATTTTGTACTTCAGAGTTATTTTTAGGACATGACAATTTTCATTTGTGTTATTAAAGAAAAGTCAAGGTAAGTTTTCTTCTTCAGAGAAAGGAGTTACATTTCCAGTGTGCCATCCCTCAAGTTTGGATGACTGACCCAAGTTACATCAAATATAATGCAGTGCCGCAATGGTCATATAATACTATTCTGTCAAGGTCAACTGTCGCAAACTTTCCCAGGAAAAGAGACTGGTTGACAGATAAGCTGGGTGAAATGAGCCATGAAATAAATACAGACAGATTGACTCTGTAGTGAAGCTTTTAACTATTTGACAGTATTGTAATTCATTTGATCAATAATGTTCTATAATTTGATCAATATTGTATCTCTGGTGATCAATAATCAGGAAGTGAATGAAACTACAAGTTTTGTCAGGAGGGAAGTGGTTCTCTGCTAAGAGCAAGAAACATAAGTGCAAGAATTGTCACCATTTGCTTGTTATAAAACAAATATCAACAGTAATATAATAGTGAACAATTTATAGCTATATAGATGCACATTGAGGCAATACTCTTAAATAATATAAATAGGACACACATGTAAATACCAAATAGTTTCTCTAGTGTGATAAACTGAAAGCGTAAATAAGGACTAAAAGCTATAATAGATAATGTGAAATAGGAAGAAAAGATACAAAGATGAAGGAGAAATGGGAGGGTTAAGGGAAAGGAAAGAAGGGAATGTAATTAATATGAGAAAATGAAAAATAATGGAAACAAAGTCTTTGTAGATAGGGAGGGAGGGAAGGGTTTAAGGGAGGGCAGGGGAATGGGGAAAATTAAGAACCAAGATTGATTATGTAAAGGTGCAAATTTCCAACAATGTTTGTCATTATATTGTATACATTAAGTTGTACCAATAAAATTAACTTTAAAAAAAGAAAAGAAAAATAGTAATGTCACTAACTTGATGGTTAATAGTGAAAGAATGGATGTATCATCTAAAATCAAGAATACAGCAAGAATCTCAGCTCTCATTAACTATTAAACATAATACTATAACTTCTAATTCCACATAAGGTAAGAAAAGATATAAAAGCATGCAAATCGGAAAGGAATTTAGAAAATGTCTCCTGTTTGCAGATGACATTGTAGTTTACTTAGAAAATTCCAAGGAATCTACAAAAGCTAAACAAACCAAAAGCTTCTACAATTATGAAGGTATTTAGCAAAGTCACATGATATATGAACTATACATAAAAACCAGTTGCATCTCCACATATTAGCAATAAATACATGAAAGCTAGAATTTTAAATAATATACTTTTCTATAATCAGTCAAAAATGAATTACTTAAATATAAATCTAGCAAAATGTGAGGAACATTTGCATGCTTATTGTAGAAAACACTGATGAAGTAAACAAAGACACAAGTAAATGAGGAAACAAATCATTTCATGATTGGAAAACTGAATACATTTCAAATCAACCTATGCATTTTATGTGATTGCTCTCAAAATTCCAATGATACATTAGATATTAAAAACCTTATTCTTAACTTTATATGGAAAGGCAAGAGTATGGAATAATCAGAGCCATTTTCAAAAATATGAATAAAGTAAGAGGTCACTACTCAATTTGTTTTGTTTGCTTTGTTTACTTCTATACTTATTTATTTATTTTCACAAAATATCTTGCTATGCTACTCAGGCTGACCTCAGGTTTTTGTGCTCTAGATATCCTTCAGTCTGTCTCTCAAGTAGCTCTCAAATAACTGGGACTACAGACCTGGGGAGCCCATGAAAATGTTCCTGAGAGGTGGGTGCACGAAGCGGAGGGAATGAAGCCGAGAGCGCAGTGCTGACTCCAGAAAGGTAGAGGTGCCCGGAATGTGATGTTTCCAGGGAAAGCTGCAGGTAGAGAGCAGAATTAGCCCAAGACAGAAGTAGTGTGAGTTGCGACCAACAATGCCCTAATGGTGGGGCTGCCCAAGTCCTCTGGAACTCACACGTCAGCACCGTGTGCCCTGGATGCTGGTCAAGAAGCTACAGGACATAATTTTGCCTTTCTGAGTTTTGATCTTACTTCAGTAATATTCCTTCGTATTCCACTATTTCTCCTGTTTGGAATAGTAATATTTATCCTCTACTCATTGTATATTGGAAAATGTTTACAAGGGGTTTAGTTGTATCTTTATATGGAATTATCGCCTTGTATTCATTTGGGAAGGAAGTATTGTTTAAGGAGATACATTTGATTGTCAAGTTGTTAAAAGGTAGAACGTTTCATAAGCTAGACTGTCAACATGATTGGTTTAAAGGCCTCCCGAGGAATCAGTAAAACGAATGGAAGAGTAAAATGAGTGCATCATGGAGGCTTGACTTTGGGTCTCTCTGGCACTGCTTTCCCGCTCTACTTCCAGCCATGATGACTCCAGTAGCTTCACCCCACTGTCCTGCTGACCTGATGTTTCTGCCTTGTAGACAGCCAACAATGGGCTGAAACTTTGCAAATCATGAGCCAAACAAATCTCTCCTGTAAATTGTAGGTATCAAACATTTTGTTCAGCAATGAAAAACTTGAATAACACAAACAAGTATAATATTTACAGAACCATAATATTTAAAAAACTAGTTAAAGCAAAATAATATTTCTGCAGCTAGACAGAAATTTCTTTCCCTGGGGAAAAATTCAAATCTGCAGTATACATTTGGAAATTAATTTAATAACATCTAAGGAAAAAAATAACAAACTACAGATAATTATTTCACTTGGAGTAATAGTATTTTTAATAATGATACAGCACTTACACTACTAAAAGCTGTTTTAGCCATTTTAGTAGTTCACATGGGGTTTATGAATAAATTATGCCTTGTTAACCCTATCAAAGGCGAAGAATATTTTTAGTACACATAACACACCTAAAACTAAATTAAGAGTCACACATTTAATAAATGGAAAAGAAAGGCGACCCTGATTTTCTACCTCAAACTTCAGTATCCTTCCTGTTTCACTTAGGAGTATATCTTCAATATGTATCCATATAAGTCACACATGTGTAAATACTAAATCGTTTCCCTGGTGTGAATAATCTGCAATAATGCATAAGATACTAACAAGATTACTGACATTTAGAAATGGGAAGAAAGGAGCTAAAGGTGTAGGGAAAGTGGGATGGGTAGGGGAAGAGTAAAAAGGGAAAAGAAAAAAATGTGAGATAATGAAAAGATGAAAATAAAGTGTTTGTAGATGGGGAGGGGAGGAGGGGGTGAAGGGAGGGCAGAGGTAAGGGGAAAAAATGAGAATCAAGACTTGTCATGTAGAGGTACAAGATCCCAACAATGAATGTAACTGTACTGTATCCCTAAAATGTACCAATAAACTCAATTAAAGCTGGAAAAAAAAAAAAAGAAAGAGGAATGGAATCAACATGAAAAAGTGATAATTGACAATGTGAAATAGGAAGAAAAGGGCTAAAGTTTTAGGGGAAGTGGGAAGGGTAGGGGAAAGGGAATAAGGGAAAAGAAAAAATATGAGAAAATGAAAAAATGGAAATAAAGTGTCTATAAATGGGGAGGGGAGGAGCAAGTGAAGGGAGGGCAGGGACGAGGGGAAAAATGAGAACCAAGACCTGTCATGTAAAGGTACAAGATCCCAATGATGAATGCAACTGTACTGTATACCTAAAATGTACCAATAAGCTCAATGAGAAAATGAAAAAATTGAAACAAAGTCTTTGTAAAAAGGGAGGGCAGGGGAATGGGAGAAAAATAAGAATCAAGATATATTATATAAAGGTCCAAATCTCCAGTGCTTACTGCCATTAGATTGTATACCTAAAACATACCAAAAAAAATTGAATTTAAAAAAGGTGACTTTCTAAGAGGTAGAAATCATTTGCATATTCTTCAAATTATAAATGGCAGAATTAATAGCTTGAGAACATGGGTACTGGAAAATAAAACATTTGATTTGTATCCTTGGCATTTCCTTGCCATAAACATAAATAATTCATCTTACATCCCCAATCTTTAGTTTCCTCAGCTGAAAAAAATGTATGATAAATCATACTATCTTCATAGAGATTTAAGCAGATTTAAGCAGTTAAATCTATGAATAATGTTTTGTTATCTAGTACAACACAATTAACTACTCAATAAATGTTAAAGATTTAAAGTCTTGCATGCCCTGTAGAATGATAGGAAAATATTATATTGTCTAAATATGAGAGTCTATTTCTATTGGCACACAATCAGATGACTTCTGGAAAAAAATAATTCAGGAAAACAAAGCACTGATTTTACCAAGAAAGTAACTTGTTCATTTACAAACTCAAGTTCACCTTTTCTAAAATATATATTTATGTTTCTATAGTAACTAAGCATGTTGGTGGTTAGTTTGTACAACTGAACATAGTATAAGAGGTTATTATTGATTTTGCTAGACAATAAAAATCATTATGGACCTACTCATTACAAAAATTCGTGCACACTTTTAGTGGAAAATTTGAAATGCATAAAGAAGCACATTGAATTCAGTTGCTATAACTTATAGATTATATTTCTTCTTGAATTTTTAAAAAGACTGTTTTCCAATATCATTAAATTACCAACAAAATCCCATTTTTAATAGAGGCACAATTGATATAGTGATTTTGAAAACTCTTTACAAGTTACTTAGCCTCTTTCAATCTTAGTTTCCTTTTCTGCAGCATCATGATGATAATAGCTACCCCACGGAATTTTTGTTTTTTAGTGTCATGAAAATATATTTTATTTGATATAATTTTGTAATCCATGGGATTATTGTAAGGGCTAAATGAGGCACTGCTTGTGAAAAAACAGTTGATAAGCTGGAATGCACTACACAAATGTGAGTTATTATTAATTTTGGCAAGCCACTAAGAAGAAAGAGTAAAAAGTATGTGAAGTATATATGGTGGGGGCTAGTTTGTAGCTTTATAGAATTTACTTACTTCAAAAAGAGGACTGGTTTCACATTTTTCACTTGTAAGTTAATTTTGTATCCATAGAATGTAATTCTATGGAAATAAATTCTATCTCTAAAAAATGATAAAAGTTAAAAGTCAAAGACTATAAGTAGTCAAAGAATAAAAGCCAGAAATAGGAAGATTCACATCACCCTCTTTTTCAAGGATTAAAAAATATGAAGTCAAATTTATTCAGCAATTTCAAAGCTTTAGTACTTAGAATTTGTATTTCAAGTATTATGTAGATATATTTTTCTGCAGAGAGCATCAAAGTGAGAGTTAACCTTTTTCCTGGTTTTACTCCTGAATTTCTTTGTGTTTTATTAAATTCAACATTTAGGGCCAGGGATTTAGCTCAGTGGTTCTGCCACTTGCCTTGCACATGCAAGGACCTGAGGACCTGAGTTTGATCCCCAGTACCCTCCCCTAAAAAAATCAACATTCAAAAATATTTTCATTTTGAGAGGAAAATAATTTTAAACACAATTTATTGTTCTAGCAAAGTTTATAACACTCACAAAGTTCATAAAAGTGTTCCTATCATATTAAAATGCACACACACACACAAAAAGGCAAGGATGGTTTTTGGCCTAACACTTCCTGGGAAACTATGCTTCAAAATGTTGAAATAAGTCAGAGTGTCACATACCCAGGTTTAATAGCAGTATCTTCTTTATCTTAGTAAGGTCTAATAAGATGAAAATGTATCTTCATGTGCCAAAAGCTAATCATGTGCATGCACTGGGCTGAATGATAGGTGTGAGTTTTAGATGTAGCTGTGCTACTGATCTGGGCAATGTCCAAAAGCAAGTCTCTTAGTATCCGCCTATTTCTATTTTTATAAATTAAATAATACCCATTTAATTCTAAAATTTCTTTCCCTGTTATAAATGTGTAAATCTTTATTTTTTATTACTTAAGATTATAACTCAAGGAAAATTTCTTCCTAAGTATACAAAGCAGTTTTTCAGTTGCCTGTCATTTGAAACTAAATTCTTAACAAGCCCTTTGCTTTCTCCCTTTCTTTCTGCACCTCAAGTACACATTGGATTTTTCTTTTCCCTGATATATATGGATTCTCACTGAGCATCTCTAAATCCTGCTTGTGTCGCTTCCAGTACTATTCTTCTTTCTTTTCAAACTTTCATTTTATTGAGGCGTTGAAGTATCTTATAATAAGCTACAACAGGCTTTATTTCCTGAAATGACACCTTTGTTCTCATGAAGATTATTTAAGTTAACAACATTTGCCTGAAATTTATGTAGAAAAATCATGATGAAAGATAAAAAAGGCATCTTTCTTGTTCCTTTTCTAAATAATTTAGAAGAAAGCCCTAAGGGATAAACATACCAGGAGAGAAAACAATGTTCTCTTCTCATCCCTATATTATTTACATTCCATTTGAAGAAATATGACACAGTGGTAAGCGTTTAACAAACAATAAACCACACACAGTTGATGAGTCAATAAGTATTCATAGAGTGGCTAATAAGTATCTACCTGACTGCTCGATTGTGTGGTCTAGATGAGGATCAAAGGTGTTGAGAGAAGATCTTACCTCTGTGAAATACCGTGCTTCCAAGGACTTTTCCTTTATACATTATATGCTTCTGTAAAGAATGCTTGGTAAGTTGGCCAAAGACCAAATTAGTCAACTTCTAGGTTTCCAACATTCAGTCTGTAATAAAAGCAAAGAAGCCAGAATGAAGCAAAAACAGAGACAATGATGTTCACTAAATGAGACCTCACTTACTGGATGAGCAGTTCTACCCACAAAACATTGCAAAGGGGAAAAATGTGAGACTACTTGACTTAGAAGAAAGCTTCTCAGGAAATGTTGGGTTCAGCTTTAATAAGTTTAGACATAAAAATTGCTACACTAATTTATTTGCTTTTCAACCATTCCCTTTTATCTATTTCCACATTATTTAAAAATAATGTTTTACTGTAGGAATTCAGACTAATTTTATTGTAATATAACTTTTGGATGCTGACATTTCTAAAATATTCTGTGACTGAATATTTGGTCATCCATTGCTTTATTTTTAGCTAATGCTACATTGTAAGCACTAAATTAATGTTGGGGTGATATAGAAAAAATGATCTTGGATATTATAGAAGAAATTTTGGAGATAATTGATTCATTGAGTTTTGTTAAGCAGGTGATCACTGATGTTCTGTTTCAATTATTGATTCTTCATTGCTAACATTTTTCTTGTTCCTTGTTCTTCATGGTCTTCTTTTATTAAAAACAATAGTAACCCCACATTTACAGACCAAAGGACTCCTTTAGGCTCTGCGTTGCTACTTTGATTTTTTGTTTCTACCTTCTTCAAAACAAGACATACACATAGCCAACAATGTTTTGAAAAAATATGTTCAACATCTTTACCTGCACATCAAAACAACACTGAGACTCGATCTCACTCAGCCCAGTCATCATGGCTATCATCAAGAACACGAAAAATAATAAATGCCAGTGGGGATGCAGGAGAAAAGCAGCTGTTCTGCACTACGGGTGGGAATGTACATTACTGCAGCTGCTGAGGAATCAGTATAGAGGTTCCTCAAAAAGAAATAAAAATAGACATATTTGTATAAATAAAAATAGAAATATTTTAAAAATCGATTCATATACTGTCCCTTTATGTATTCCCAAAGGAATTGTAATCAGCATACTATAGGAGTGACACGTTTAGCATAGGTCATACTGAATGAATGGATAAAAAAAAGTGGTATCTATGCACTATGGAGGGTGGTGTGCATTTACCCATAGACACGAACCATATCAGGTCATTTGCAGGAAAATAAATGGAACGAGAGTTCAGGTTAAGTGAAATAACCTAGACTCAGATAAGTACTACATGGTTTTCCTCAAATGTAGAAATTAGTAGTGAAAAAAAGATGTCTTGAAAAAGAATGCAGATTATTAGGTAAAAGAGTAGGGGATGAGGACTGGGAAGGGACGGGAATAGGTAGTGGATGTGATCAAAGTATGTTGTACGCATGCATGAATGTGTCATCGTGAAACTCAACATGCAGCGCAGTAAAGATGCAATGAAAGTGAAAAGTACGACTCCTGATTCGTCTTCTTTATAAGATGAAAATGGAAAAGAATAATTTGAATTTTTAGGTTAAAATATTCTTCTAGAATCAAAATTTATCAAACAATTATCTATTCTTTTCACAAGCAAAAAAAAAGATTTTTCAGTAGATTTGATTATATTTAGTGAGAGCTTTTCTTGCATTTGTATTTTGATATATTGAAATCACATATTTTTATGTTCTAATACTTTTTTAATTTTAATTTAGATCATTATCAGAAAAAGAAGAGAAAATGCCTGAGTGCAGCGTTGAAAATGCCCCCATTTGAAAAATTGCTGGCCCATATATTCTCTCTTGAGTTCCAAAAAATATATTTCATACAGTTTGTTGGGATATCAAAATTAATATATGACATACTGACTACATTACGTATTCACACCAAGCATCCATTTCCTTGTCATGCCTCATTTTATTATATTTATTTTTTCATACAGTATACCAGTGATGGCAAACCTTTTATTGACCAGTGCCCAAACTGCAACCCAAAACCCACTTATTTATCACAATGTGCTAACACTGCAGTTAAACCTGAGTACTAACTGGCCTTGTGAAACTTTGGCTGAGTCTCACCTAAGGGCAGTGGCTCTGACGTCACCACTGGGGCCTCTACTCCTTTCTGAGCATGCGCCTGGACCCTAGGTGCTCTGCTGTCCAATGCTTGGGTGCTGGGATTCCGGAGACTGCTGGCACCAGAGAGGACTCTGTGTGCCTGCTGCAGCATGCACGTTATAGGTTTGCCACCGCTGCCATACACCATCGATTAGAAAGCTTCAAATCATCTTCATTTCCTGCTACACTTTTTAAAAAATTCTCCAGCACCAAGTCAATTATTAAAAACCCTCAATCTCAAAAGTTTTTCAAAATTTGGCTTTTGTGATCAGTGACTGTTGATGTTTTCTTATTGAAGATGTGTCTTTTGCTTGGGTTATTACAATTATGCATTAGCAGCAGACTTTTCTCCAACTCCCCTTTTTTAATGAATTTATCAGAATTCCCTTCTTAGAAGGTATCTTCGTTTACTTATCCAGTCAATCGGTCATTGTTTTTACTCAACCAATTTTACGTTTTACCTGCTATGAGTTTACATTTGATTTTGATTTCCTTTTCAGGCTGGCTGTTAGTAAATGTGAGCCACATTGATAGTTGACCCATTGCAAATGTGTAAATTCACTAATAAATTCATGGGTTCATTGGCTTCAATGTTCCCTCCAGGTTATATATTCCTTCTTGTTTACTTTTTGTATTTTTGGTTATCATTTTCTTATGCATAATTTCTTTTTTTTCTTTTTTTGTTTTGTTTTGTTTTGTTTGTTTGTTTTTTGAGACAGGGTCTCACTATGTAGTTGAGACTGACCTGGAACTCACTGTGTAGCCCAGGCTGGTCTCGAACTCACAGAAATCCTTCTGCCTCAGCCTCCTGAATGCTGGGATTACAGGCATGTGCCACCACACCCAGCTCTTATGCATAATTTCATAATCAGAATTAAGATGATATAGGACGATCCATATATAAAGTCAACCTTGCACATATTTCAAATGTTGTCTTACTGGATTCAAATGTCTTTCTGTGGTTTTCGTAAATCAGAAGATTAACTACAAACAGTTTAGTATGAATTTATTTTCTGGAAGTCATAGTGCTATATTAATTCCCACTAACCAGTGTTCATGAACACTAATTTCTAAGGATTTTGGGAATAAATAAAGCTTTTCAACTTGCCATGTCTTTATATTTATGCTGATTTTCTCAAACATCAACTCTCAAAAACAGTTTTGTCATAACAGACATACGGATTTCTTGTACAGAGTTTAGTATCATGTAAATTTGAAAATACCACAGTCTTCTAAATGTTTCATTACACAATTGCTTAAGCAACAATATTTCTCAAAATAATAGATATTAAGAATTACCTAAGGCATTTGTTAAAAGTCATGGTTTGTCAGAACTATTTAAGGACGTGTTCTCAATTATATATCGCAGGTGAGTTCATGAAATCTATTTCACTGGTTTTAATATGTGACCTAAAGTAGTTTCCTAATTTTAAAAAATTGAGAAACACTTGCCAAAGTTACTGAAAATTCTTTAGAAAGAAAAATTTTACCACCATTTAACGCAGTATTTCTCCAGCATATTCTGCTATGGTTACTTACTGAGTTTTTTGTTTTTGCAAATTGGATATATCTTCATTAAAATGTATTATAAAAATGGTATTGTACATCTGTTTTATGTCAAAAGACTAAAGTTTTTACATATTTATAGGTTATAGTATGATAATTTGATGAATATATATATATATATATATATATAATATGATGATCAGATCACAGTAGCATTGCCTGTCTTAAATGTTTTTTCTTTATATTGGGAAGCTTCAAACTCCTTTTATCTAGTTATAAAATATGTCATATTTATATATTTATAAAATATATAGTAAATTGTTATGGACATACTTATCTGACATCTACTGTTTTCAGAAAATATCTCTAAAGATACTGGTTTATATTATTTTCTTTAAACCAAATAATCTTCCTATCCAAGAAAATTCCTGGATATTCTTGAAGACTTAACTCGAAAAATCTAGTGCCAGCATTACAATATTTATGTAATTATATCGTTTTTATCTAGTCACATATATATTTTTTTTTCTTTTTTTTCTTTTTTTTTTTTTTTTACCGGGGATTGAACTCGGGTCCTTGCGCTTGCAAGGCAGGCCACCAAACCGCTGAGCTAAATCCCCAGCCCATATATTATTATTTTGACAAGTAAACTTTCCCTGTGAATCCTGAGCAACGTCAAAGCAAAATGCCTTAGTCATCGATACATATCACTCTGCTGCTACATAAACAATACTGGATGAATGCCTATGAATAAATAATTCATGTAAGTTTCTATATGGAAAGTTATCACCAGGAAGTCCAGAATATGTATGGACCAGGCGACACAAAGTAAACATAATAACTGTACTAGTGAAACCACAATCTTATTATTTATACTGATCTCACTCATGACTAGGGTTTATGTTAAAATAATCTTCATACAAAATCTTAGAAAACACTCCTCCTAGGTTTATGAATGACCACTTTCTATGCTAAATTTCTCTTCTAAATTTTTTCTTTGGCTACATTTTCCTGGGATCATTTTTAACTGGAAAATAACATCAGAATCAATATTTTCCTCCATTGTCACCTGGGACATGACCATATTCCTCTTGAGTTTATAGCTTAATCATAGATTAAGTTTCATGGCAGAGAAAGAACACTTCTAGGAAGCATTTGCTTAGACAGATATTTTTTATATAATGAACAGAAAAGTTAAGTTCAATGTATGGTTATTTCAACAGTGTCCTCAAGATGTGATTGTGAATTTAAACAATAGATCTAGTACTACAAAAATGTAAGTTTCAGTTTATTTTTGTATTTTTCTATAAATATTTGCACAATTTAATAAATCTCCTAGAAATGAAATTGATTGAAATGCTATGGGAACAGGGGTTTAAAAAAAAAGAAAATGCTGTGAAGATTCTTAGAAAAAAATGCATGCACACACACACACACACACACACACACACAGACACA